CAGCTAGTGACGTCTAATGACATTAGTATTTTGAGATAATTATTTTCATGAGATTTTATTTGTTTAATAATCTAAACTTTTTATGTTATTCTTAATGTTTTAGTTCTTACAAGAAAAAGAAAATTTAAGATTAAAATTTACTTTGTACAAGACTTGCACCGGCTTTCATTCGTTCGACAATATCTTCTACTGTTTCAATACCACCAACACCGATTAAAGGAATTTGACCTAAGACAAAAAAAATTTTAATTTTTGAAAATAATAGAAAAACAAAAAAAAAGAGAAAACCTTGAGTATAAAATCGAAATAAACGAAGAGTTTCAAGTGCTTTTTCTTTTAATGGTCTACCACTTAAACCACCAGTTTCATTTCGATGTTCATTTTTTAATGTATTCATTCTTGATATTGTTGTATTAGAAATAATTAAACCATCAATACGTGTATTTGGTTGACGAATAATATGTGAAATTGATTTTATTTCATTTTCATTTAAATCAGGTGCAATTTTAAGTAAAATTAATGGTATTTTTATTGTTTGATTATCACATGAAATTTTATTACAAATTTTACGAATAGATGTAAGAAGATTTTTTAATTCATTTTCATTTTGTAATGATCGTAAACCAGGTGTATTTGGACTTGAAATATTAATAACAAGATAATCAGCAAGACAACCAAATTGTTGAATACCTAATGTATAATCTTGTTCAACATCTGTTGTTGTATTTTTATTTCGTCCAATATTAACACCAATTAATATATCTAAATGTAAAATAATTGTATGTTAAACTGACTAAAGAACGAGATAATCAAAGTAACAAGAAGGGAAAAAAAATATGAGATTAACCTTGTATTTCGCTTAAATACAAAAAAAAAATTCGGTCAATATTTTATTCTTTATCGTTCCTAGTCTTGTTACTTTTATGCTTATACTTGATTAATTCATTCGTGCTAGTATGTTCATCATCAGACAATAGACAAGCAATAGAGAATGGCCGACTTAATCTTCGTTCAAATTTTCTATACGATATATGTGCATAAGTATTAACTAAGTCGCATCATTCATTCAATTGAATATCGTTTGAGATTTCTTTTTCCTTATATTGTATACAATGTTAATATTACTATATATCGAATCCTCCATTCAGTGTTGAAGTCACATCTACACTTGATCGGATTCCTTCTTGTCTCCATTTCTTTTTTCCTCCTTCTTCTTCTTTTTTTTTTATTCAACACATACATTCAATGGTCATTTTCTTTTTTTTCTTCACGTCTTCATTCTTCTAATCAACATATGTCCGTTTGTCTAATCTTCTTTGTCTTGTTGTACGGGTCTGCATAGACAAGGTTCACACGCACACACACTCACGTATGTATGCATTCATATATTCAAAGAGTCTATTGACAAAATACATCTAACAATATCATTGTTCTTAAATTTAGTTGTACAAAATCAAATTTCATCTTATTCTTATAACGATATGTCATCATCAAGTGCTTATTCATTACAATTACCATATTTAGGTACAATACCATTAGGAAAATCACCACCAAATTTAGCATCATTTCAAAAACCATTACGTGAATTATATATACCTTATTATCGTCAACGACGTGAACGTCCTCATGATGAACGTCGAATAATTATATCTGATCGTGATATATTAATATTTGAACCTGATGCAGCATCAAAAGGAAAACGTTCATTAATTTATTCAACTTTAGAATCAATTGTTGATATACAAGCATTAGAATTATATCTTATGTTTCATCATCATACAGAAAATCATCATCATAAACGTATACGTGCTGCATTTTTACCTATTGGTAAGTTCATATATACCAGCTGTTCAAGTATCATTCGTTCTTTTTTTGATAATTTGTTACAACAGCTGGTAATAAGTGATGTTAATTAACCTTTGAAAGAAGGAAAAAAACCCATCTGATACAAATTTCTTTTTTTTTTTTGCTTAATCGGAAATTCTCTGTTGCCTTTTTAAATATCATTATTATATAGATAGATTGTCAATAGAGAACGAGTAAAAGATTGACCGACGGTATAGTAGACTAGTCATGTTCATTAAATTTACTATTTATTCACGGAAGAAGAATACATTGTATTGATTTATTGATCAGACAACTTAACCGATCGTTATTATTATTATTATATAATACGAATGAAGATGATTAGAAATAAATAAATAAATCTCTTCTATTACTAAATTATATTTTTTTATTTTAGGTTGTGAACATCAAGAACGTTTTCGTGCTCTTTATTCAACAATTGATAAATCACAATATAATCTTCTTTCAACTCCATCATCTTATCATCCACCACTTTTATTATTTATCATGAAAAAAACCGGTACAAGTGGTACATGTTCGTTACTTGATTGTCATGTATTTGCTGTTAGACGTGAATCAATTGCATTTGATTTATGTGATATGATACGTAAATTAATTGTCAAACGAACAATGAGTCCTATATTACCAACACCACCATCACCAGCACCACCATACTCACAATCGACAACAACAACCTTATTACGTATACGTGATAATACTAAAGATACAACAATTGAAAGACGAACAAAATATTTCGATCGAGATAGACCTATATCAGCTATGGAACATCGACAAGCAGATATACCAATAACTATAGATAAAAAAGTATGTTTTAGATTATTTGCAAAGTTTTATCGCTAGAAAAAAAAACTCTATTAGCTTTGTGTATGGATATTGCCTTTTACCTACAATTGAAAGAAGTGATGGTAAAGAGTATGGACCAGAGATGATCGGGGCGCAGTGTGACGCCACACCGCCCCGCCGTGAGGCGGGACGAAGTGAGATTTTTATTTGGCGGAGCGACGACGGAATTTCTTAATCTGTCGAGTAATGGTCAGTGCAGTTGTGATAATACCTAAGAGAAATGGGAATTGACCATTGGTTCGCTCATAATTCTACCATTCATGAAAGTCGCATTAATGCTTTTTTAAAAAGTTTTGTGCATGTAATTTTTTCTTTCACAATTTTCCAGGTGAAATAAGAGTCAGAGAAAAAATATCGTGAATATACCTATCTTGTATCAGCACCCACATCCACACTCCTTATTTATATGTATTGAAATTAGATAATAATCTAGTAGGCGGTGACAGGGCGCTTTTATAGCCGCTCAGCTCATCTCTGGTATGAATACATGCGTTGAGGTGCGGTTGGGAATATAATAGAAGACTAACATCCATACCCATATACATTCATTGATCTTTCAATAGACGTTATATTAACCTTCATTTTTCCACGCATTGATTCACTATGAAAATGAAATTCAATGTCATATGAATTTATTTCTTCTAGACTAATCGTTCAGTATCAAATGCAAATTTAAATGATGTTATACATTCAACATCAAATGGTCTTTCTAATGGATTATCATCATCATCTTTATATCTTATAAATAATAATCAACAATCAAATTCTTATTACGATACATCTCAAGTATTAAATATAGAGAATAATATTCATCGTATGTCATCGTCATCTTCAACACCAATACGTACTCTTTCAACAAAACATCAACAACAACAACCACAACGTCATTTTATCAAAGCATCATCATCATCATCTTTAATGGTTGATGAATCAGATGAAGTTGTTAATGATTTAATGAATATTGTTGTGGCTGAAAAACTTAAAACAATTGATACAAATTCTTGTCAAATTCCTATAAAACGTCATGCATCATTTGATCAAACAACATCAACAACGAATGATAATACAATGAATAAAAAACGTTATCAATTTTATAATAACAATAATAATAATAATAAAAAACGTTCTTTTTTCTTAAATTCTAATCAATTACCAACAATACCATCAGCAAATAATACACCAGTGATATCACGAACAACAACAAATGTTGAACAACAACAACAGCAACAACAACAACAGCAACAACAACAACAACAACAACAACAACAACAACAACAACAACAACA